GACCACTCCATGTTGCTTTTCTGTGGATAGAACGCTGTAATGTACCATCTAAGCGCCTCGTAATTCTTATATCCAAAAATGCTAGAGGGTCATTACTTTCTTTTTCGTGGGATACGGAAAGATTTGGATGAACAGAGTTAAATTGTTTCAAAAGGGATTCAAAATGTTCACGCTCCGTAAGAATAAAAATATCGTCCACATAACGTCTGTATAAGGTGGACTGGGAAACATTATTGGCAAAAATTTGTTCAATCATTCCTAAAAACACATCGGCTAGAATTGGGCCTAATGGACTGTCCATGGCCACACCATCAATCTGTTTATATGTGGCTCCTTCGAATTCAAAACGTGTTTTGGGTACATAAAAATATTAGTTCTCTTAATTATTCAAGAGGAATTGCAAGGGAAAAATTACTTGAAGAAATATAGCCACATAAAAAATCAACTGTTTCGTGGAGTGGAACATTAGTCAAAAGAGAATCCACATCTATAGAATACATCCGCTGTAAAGATATGGTCAGATTTTCAAGGCAATTTGAAAGTTCAAAAGAATCTTATAAACAATGGGGGTGTAAAAAACTTACGAACGGGATTTAGAATTTCCACAAACCATCGAGCGAGTTTGTGATATGGTGATTTTTGCATACACAAAATCTGTCTGAGAGGAGTCAAGGGACTTTTTATGTGACAATATTTCTTCAAGTAATTTTTCCCTTGCAATTCCTCTTGAATAATTAAGAGAACTAATATTTTTATGTACCCAAAACACGTTTTGAATTCGAAGGAGCCACATATAAACAGATTGATGGTGTGGCCATGGACAGTCCATTAGGCCCAATTCTAGCCGATGTGTTTTTAGGAATGATTGAACAAATTTTTGCCAATAATGTTTCCCAGTCCACCTTATACAGACGTTATGTGGACGATATTTTTATTCTTACGGAGCGTGAACATTTTGAATCCCTTTTGAAACAATTTAACTCTGTTCATCCAAATCTTTCCGTATCCCACGAAAAAGAAAGTAATGACCCTCTAGCATTTTTGGATATAAGAATTACGAGGCGCTTAGATGGTACATTACAGCGTTCTATCCACAGAAAAGCAACATGGAGTGGTCAATATCTACAATTCTCTAGCTTCTCGCCCATGGCTTGAAAACGTGAACTCGTGAAGCTCTGTTCCATCGCGCCAGAAGAATTTGTTAACCAGACACACTACGAGAAGAAGAAGAATTTCTGAAGAAAACGTTACTATGAAACGGTTACTCTGAAAGATTCATTGATATTCACAGTAAACAATCTCAAAAAGGTAACCCATCGCCAACTGTTCCCCAGAAAGCCGTTTACATCAAACTATCTTTTAAAGGTGATCACCTTTTGAACGATGTGCGCCAAAAGTTGAAATCGGCTCTCAACCGCACATTCCCAGCTGCTCAACTCCGACTTATTGCCTCTACTCGTGGAATCGATTTGGACAAACATTGTATACAGAACTGACACTTTGTCATTCCCATCATTCAACACGCTCCCAATTTCGTCAAATTTCATCTCGAATTAATGCATACCGCAATTCACCCATACCGTATCTTGCTCGTCTACTCACAAACAAAGAGCGAACAATGAGTGAACTTTGTCTTAACCTTGGATTATGAATGTGTCCATGCCTGTGAAAACTTTTCTCCCCGTTGATTATGTACATTGTGACGGTTAGCGTGTATGCTTTTTAACTGAACTGTGAGCTCCAGTGCTTGCAAAAGTTATACACAATACAATACAATACATGGTTGGCAATCGAGTTCTGTCTCACACACAGTATACCAGTTCACCTGTAGTTGCGGTGACGCATAAATAGGCAGAACCAACCGTCAATTATCACAGCGGGTGGCCGAACCCATTCCAGAGTGGTTGTTCAAGTCGATGGCGCAACCCACGCCCAGTAATCAGGCGGTCACACGTAACCCGGGGTCATCAATTGCAAAACACCTCAGGACTACCAAGCACATAATTGATCCCGCTTCCCCTTTTAAACCGTTGTTACGTAATTGTAATGCAAAACTGTTGGTGATAAGGGAGGCGCTGCTAATCCGAATACATAATCCCGTTCTGTGCGCCAAAAAGTTGTTGATCCAATCACTTCACTTGCCGTGGAGTTGACCTGTACTTTTTTAATTCTAATAGTCCCTGTCTAACTGTACATGTCCGTTCACTAGGATTTAAAAATCTACTGTGCTATAAATGCGCTTGTTTGTTTTGCGTCAGCGATTGAGAAGATTAAGCGAAATGGTAACATCTCGCGACATATGTCTTCTTTCGACTTTAATGTTATATCAATATATTTATGTGTGTGGGGAGTGAAATCCTACTCTCACTTTACTGATTATTTGAACAGGATATAGGAAAATGTTTGTGACCACGGTCTAAAAGACACATCTCGTTATGTGAATGCCACGAACACAAAGCTGCACTCGCTAGACGCCACTCATCACTCTTCACTCATGCGCTTCTCTGAAAAACGGTACAAATCTTGATCACTTCTTTCTCTATCAAAGACATTGTCCCTCCACAGGGTTAAGAATACCGGCTTTTGCTTCTACGAGAACTTCCGCTGAGATGCTCACTCAAAGTTCAGTTCTCACTTAATGAAAACAAATATCAAAAGAAAGATGGTGGAGCAAAGTGGTCTCCTCCCGGACTCTCGTTCTAGTGGAGTTCCTCAGAGATATGATAAAAAACAAGCACGAAACAAGACTGCAAATTTCATTTATTTTATCGTCGGCTCAATGTTATTGTATTCTTCATCTTTGAATGGAATACAGGTGTGTGAAGTCGACGAAAATGTGTTCTACGCTGTTCAGAACTCTGTGAAAGTTTGAGCAAAATGTTAGATTCCTTTTCTACATGCGTTTATAACCACAGTCCACTGCTGCATCGAACGGCATGTTTACTAAAAGAATGTATGAGCTGTACAACACATATACAAAAAAAATTGTGCCCTTAGGTATAGAAAAAATTAATTTGACAAATCGCCTAATTTGTAGAGAGCAAATTGCATTTTCGCGTCGGAAAGCGGTAAATTGCGCATTCTCTCATTGCCGCAAGATAAAAACTTGTCTGTCACTGAAGGAAACGCATGAACAAACTTGAATTGAAAGAAAGTCATAATGAGCAGAAGTTTTATGCCAGAGATTATGGGTTCAACCCCTGGGTTGGCCGGGGGATAGGCAATACTATTAATGAGCTATAATGAGCGTAAATCTGGAGTGCCTGAATTTGTGATTGAGCTGAAATTTGTCAGTGAAAATGAAGTGTGAAGGACGGCAAGTCGGAGAGGAAAGAGTAGGTTATTGGAAGATGTAACCATTGGACGGAGATTCAAGCGACCCAGCTGGGGTCAGCATAATCATGATTGACAACTAACAGGTACGAAACGTAGTCAGGAAAGGGTTTACGGTGTTAGTGCCACATGGTTGAGGATTTTATGTTCACTTACTGTTGCGGATTGCCACCGAAATAGGCAATATTTTCTCGAACCCATTCCAGAGCGGCAGCTTGATCCATCAGACCTTGGTTGCCCGGTGCGTCTTCAGTGCCCAAGTACAAGAATCCTAGTGGGCCGAGCCGATATTGTATGCTCACGATTACTACATCCATCTGATTGTAAAAAGTGCATCGCAAACATAAACGTAAAAAGTTAATAATAACTTTGAAAGAAGAATTGCAGTTTATTTCTATATCTTTTTTAAATAACGATTATTTGAACTTTAGTCTGTCTCCTATTGCTGGACAAACCAGCTTGTTGAACAGCGTGCTTGCGTTCAATCTACGGAATTTGTAATTCGATCCCAAAGTGGGCTAATTGATCTGCACTACTGATGACGATCAATTAGGTTGAAACATATCTGTGTACCGAATTCCGACTTTTCATTCCACGGACCAATTTCCCAAAACGAAATGTGCTTGCACC